ATATATATATGTATATATATATATATATATATGTGTGTGTATGTGTGTTATGTATGCATATGTATACCTATATATGTCCCAAATTGTTTGTAAATACTTTTTAATAAAGTAATTGAATTTCAGTTTTATGCAATGATAAGACAATACTAATTGAATTTCCACTAAAGCTTAAAACACAATGTTTGTCATCATCTATCAAAAATGAACACTCTTTTATTAGACAAAAATACATGTTTTTGTACAATGTGTTATGGTATAGTAACTTACATTTTTTATCTTTAAATTTTTTCATACTGTATTGTTTATGATTTAAAAATATGATCTTTAAAATATTGCATGTATTTTAATGAATAAAAAAAAGTATAAATTTTAAACCTGAGTTTTGCACGTAAAATAATTGTGGTGCAGAAGAATATTTAATTACAGCTACACTTGCTTTTAAATCATGCTTGAATAACTGAAAAAAATCTTTTTTTAGGTGAAGAAATATTTACCTATTGGCCTTTTTAGAAGATTAATTAAATAAATTTAAGAAAAGAGTTTTCATTTATATTTGTTACATTATTACTTAAGTTACTATTATACTATTTACTTTGTTTTCTTTGTTATATTAATTAAAGTGACTGAATGCTTCGAAAATCTTTTTAACCAATCAAAAGCATAGTATTTAGAAGTGTGGAACTGGATATTTTTAGCTGATAGTTAAATGAATATATTTGCATTAATTGTATAAGATTTGTTTTTAGAAAATATTATTTTGATTTGTTCAATCATGTTACATATAAAATGCTTGAAAAAGTACAAGTCAAGATTTTACAGTTAGCTTTTGTAGATTTTAATGGAAAAATTAAAATAAATTTGTTTTAAATAAATAAAAAAATAAATGTTTATTTCATAATTATTTTTCAAAACATTTGTATTCTTATTACTTTTCTCATTATTTTTAGATTAATTGTTTATTCTGTTTATTGAGCTTCCATCCGTCCATAGTATAAAGAACATCATTTGGAATCAAGTGAGAATACTACTAAATTTGAAGTCCATCAATAGCAAATTAAAAGAAGTGATCAGGGCTACAAAAAGAGGTATTGGTCAGGGAATACTTCCTGTAACCAAGGTTCGTGATTTTTTTTTTATTTAAATCGGATTTTATTTATTTAAATCAGAATTTCTTTTATTTAAATCAGAATTATTTTTATTCAAATACACTGTAAGAACTTTAATTTATGATTAATAAATTATAAATGTTTAATCAAAATTTACTTAATATTAAAACTATATTGTAACAATAGTTTAGAAGCTCTAACTAAAATAATTTTTCATTATTATACATGGCTTTGAATGCATAACAACCATTTTAAAACAAATGCATGCTTAAAATTTAAAGACTAGATGAAATAGAGAATTTAAAGAATACTTCAGGGGTCTGTCTGGGTTTTTCGAGAGGTACCTATTTTGTGAAAATTTGGACATAATTTGTCAAAATTAAAAATTAATATTCAACACAAATATAGTAAAAATATGGATTTATAGTTTCTTACGAGAAACAGAAATAAAATTTTAAGAAAAAGTATTTTATGTAATTATTCTATAATTTTTCCTAAAGTTGAATTTGTAAAGGTACCGTTAAAAGGTAGTAAATTTGGCTTGGACAGACCCCTGTACTTTAACTATTATAACAAAGTTTCACGTAGCAAATCATAAGTTTAATTTAAAACTGTGATTTCTTTTTTCTTCTCTTGATTTTTAAAATTACAAAATAAATGTAGCTGATTGTGTTTATAAATGTAATCATTCATCAAAAAATAAATAATTATTTAATCTATATATTTTTATATTAAAATATTCATTTTTAATTGTATATTAAAATAGATAAGTTAAGCTAAAAAAAATTAGAAAATCTATGTACTCATTGGAATTTTTTTTCACAAAATTTCTTTATAGAAAATCAAATAATATCAAAGATACTGTAAGCATATTATGCGAAAAAGATACCAGTTAATAACCCTACTGCTTCAAATAGAGTTTGAAAGAGAAGAATGATGCTATATTAGGAAAAAAACATCTGAATTCATCAGCCTTTTTTTTTCTTTCTATTTTTGGCATATTAGGGCGATTTCTTTTTAATATAACCCCAAACTTCGGAAATATACATTTTCCACCAAAAAAATATGATGTAGATTTTAATTCACGCTTTTTCATTCAAAAGGTAGAATTTTAATTAACATTATTTGTATTTTTTTTTTGAAAAAAATTCATGTTTATTAATTACTTTCTACAGCTCTGCAAGTCTATATTAAGACAGCATTAAATGTTTACTTTAATCTGTACTTTCAATCTCAAGAATCAAAAGATTTTTAAAAATGTAATTTCAAATGTGTTGGAATTTAACACACACCAAGAAAGTAATTTCGTTAACTAAAATTAATTAATGCAGCAATTTATTTAAATTAAATTTTAATACTAAGAAAAGAAAATAATAAAAGTATCAAAAATTTAAAATACTGTTTTTTAACTTTTAAAATCAATATATATATATATATAGATTTATTACATACTGAGAGAATAATTTATGTTTTATTGACCATAATTTCATAGTTTGCTCTAAAAGTATTCTTTTGTTCATTCACTGAAACAAAGTATTTCTTTTTCAGTTATTGTTGTAAAAATTGATTGGACACATCTTTCTTTTAGGAATTTTATTAAGTTGTCCTGTGTAATAGAAAATGCTAAGAAATTCATCAGTGCCATATTGTTTTTACTGCTCAAAAATCATCATTCAATGTAAGAAGGAGAATTCTGGGTTGTTGGTACAGGCTGGGAAAAAAAAAACTGCCTGAATTTCTTGCGAAGAACCAACTTTCTGAGAGCTCATGTTGTTGAAAAAGAAATTCACCCTTGAAGTGACATCATTCCCAGATAGAACTTCATTCCAGAGAGCTCATGTTAGGGTACCCTGACGTAAAAGCATGGTTTATAATCGGTCAATCTAAGACGTGCAGTGGTACTTTATTTTCCAATGCATACAAAGATTTTTCGACACTTTCATTTTCTTACCTTTATTAGAAATTACTCAAAAGATCATCCACCAGCTTCAATGCAGGGTACACACCTGCGGTGTAAGGAATGGCATAATTTGTGAAAACAGCAAGAATTTTCTAGCAAATCTTTGTACATTAATTACATCTTTTCTTTTTGTGCAATTTCTTTGTCAATCATATTCCCATGAATAAAAAGTTTTTTTAAGCATCATTTTCCATTCTTGTGTTAATTCTTTAGCCCACTGGTGATTTAGTGAATGGACAAAATTGTCAGATTATTTCTTCCTTGCACACTATTCCCCTATCTATTAATATACAAAAACTGGTTTTGCTTAGCTGAGAAGACTGCGTGTTAAAATGAGACTTTTATGTGTAGAACTGTCAGTGGGTTAATTGTGACAGTGGAGCACTACCTTGTAACTTGTGGTCTGATCATACAATCTGTGAGGAATACTGTTTGTATAGATGCGTTCTATAACCTAGTGAAGTTTTGTCGTCTCGTTCAGACTCACCCATTATAAAAACATTTAACAATAGGAATAAAATGTTTTTGCTAGTGTGTATATCCAAATTGATTCTTTTTTTTAAAAAAAAATGTGCTTAAAATTTCTTTTGAGTTCTTAAGTCTGACTGAATCACTGTGTTTGGTGGTATTATTACTTCAATTTCAATTGGGACTATTTCAAGGTTAGCAAGTTTCTGCCGACGTGGTTAAAGCCACTGGTAGAAACTGGTTAAAACTGGCATGGCAGAGACCCTTTTCTGCCACATTTGTGGCAGAAATTCAAAAAATGACATAAAAGTAAGTACTGAGATTGACATACAATGGATAATTCATAGAAAAAACAAATGTTAAACAAAGTACAATTTATTTACAAAATTATCACCATTCAAAATTAAATATTACATTGTTTGCACTCTGCAGTAATCTTTAATAAAAGACAAGCTTTGATGCAGTTTCTAAACCTAAACAATTTCTCAATTTTCTATGCCCGAACGAGAAATTTGAGAAGATTCTCTCAAGTCCAGCAGAACTAGCAGGCATTCCCATCAAGGAACAAACAAGATTTGTGAAACCTTCATCTATTGCTTATTCTTTAAAACTGGAGCACCATGTAGCAGCTGGGGTAGTTCTCAAAATTTGACTGGAAAAATAAGTTTCAGGAAATGGGGCCGATTTGTTTTGCAAAGCTATGACATAAGGTACAAAATCTGGGTTAATATTGGCAAGTAAAATTCTGGCACTTTCTTCTTGAGCACATGATAATTTCAATACCAAATACTTTGGATGCAGCATATGAGCTAGCAAATGATAATCAGTAACTGTCTGTTTAAATCTGTATGTCACTTTTTCATAAACAGCCATAAGATTCTCTTCCTTTGTTAGATTAATCCAAACAATTAATTAAAAAGTTTGTTACAGTTACATTTTTCAGTTTACTTAAACAAAATGTCATTATGCAATTACTAGAACTAATATAGAAGTTTTTTTAGTTTCTGCCAGTTTTTGCCGGTTGTAACCAGTTTCTGCAACTGACATGGCAAAAACCAGTTTCTGCTGGCAAAAAGCCAACCCTGGACTATTTATATAAATTTAGTAAAAATATGTTTGAAAAGCGACATAAATTTTGAAATAAATGTATTAGAAGTAGTATGTATGGTCTAGTATTAGAAATGGGTATAAAAACAAACTATGAATTAACAGAAGAAAGTTGACTGATGAAATAATGTGCGAAAGGTATTGTTATTAAATATTGTGCACATTAATCCATTAAAGACAGTAGACAACCTAATTTAATAACAGTGATTATTTATCTTTTTTTTCATAAATTAATCGTAGGTTTTTGCTTTTTCTTCAAGTTGCAATTGTTTTTAATTTTTATTTAGGTATTTTTATAAAAGGAAGTAAATTAATTTGAACTGAAAAAAACTGATTTAAATGTGACAACAAAAAACATCTGCAAAGATGTTCAGCTTAACATAAAATAGTATAATATATATACTAATTAGTATCAAACATAGATATTAATATTTTTTAATTGTAGAAATTTTAAATTGTGTTAGTAAGATCATTTTTTTTTTAAAAATAAATGTGGCTCAAGGAAATGTATCTATCTATAATCTTTTCCTCATCACTTGTATTTATCAATGAATGATTCTGTAATGACTTTTTACACAGATATAGTTATTGAAAAGAGATACTTGGTATCTAATAGATATATAAAGCAATAAAACTGAATGTTTTATTAAAACCTATTTATGTTTTGAAATATAATAGTTTTGATTTTAAATACCTATAATTGAGAATACATTTTTAAATGTTCATGAATAAGTTTTTTTCATAAATTATAACTAATATAATTGCATTACTAGGCATGTAAAAATTAAGTAGATAAAAAATATCTATTAATAAATATCTTAAGCATACAATCTAGTATTAGCTTTGAGTATTCATATTGCTGAACAGCATTCATTTATATAATGTTTGATTTACAGTATAGTGCCATATACAATTTTATTATGATATTTAAAAGTTCTTCATATAATTTTAAAATAAAGTTCTATATTCTTAAGTTATTCCTAAGTTATCGTAAACATAAAAGTTATCGTTCCTAAGTTATTGTAAAACATTGGAAGAAATTACATTTGTTTTAATATAAAATGTTACAATTTTTTCTAATTTTTGCTGTTTTATTTTCAATTATTTAGGAATGTTTTATTAAATGATTTGAAAATAAATACTATTATATAAACTAGATTGCTGTTTTAAATTGTTTAAAATTTTATTCCAATTTTTTATATGAATGTTTTTTTAGAAAGAGTTTTAACACATTGGTTGGAAAAAATCTATTAATTTCATGTAGAGTTTATTTTCCCACCATTTTTTCCATTGTTGTAGAAACTTGCCATATTTTGTCAGTTTTTATCTAAAAAAAAGAAAAACTTCTAAACTGATAATGGAACTACTTCTTACATAAACAAATATCCTGTGCTCTTTGAATTCATATTAATAAAATATGGTGTATATTTTTTTTATTAATTTATAAGTTGTTGTTGAGCTTGTGTATTTTATTGCATTTAATCAGTTTTCTTACATTACAGACTATTTAAATGGGCAATGGTTGAACATGTGGTTTATGATATTTACATAGGATTGTGCTTAGCTGTTTTTTCTAGTTTATTTATTGGTGCAAGTTTTGTCATTAAAAAGAAAGGCTTGTTGAGGTTGACCATCAATGGAAGAACTAGAGCAAGTTAGTATTTCTTACATTTTATTTTGTAACATTACACATGTATTTAGCTCTTACGCACTAACATCTTTGACACACATTCTCACCTACTCGTGCAGTAGAAAGAAGCAATGTAAATATGGGCAAGCAGGAGTTGATCCAGACTCAAATGGGGTCCACTTTGTGGCTCATTCACTAAAATCCATCTTGAAAGAGAGGAATTTTTACAGAATTCTGTATCATTTTTATAAATTTTCGTATGTAGAAAATAATTTTTCCATCATTTTTAAGCTCAAATTTGGACAAAACGAAACACACAGTCATAGAACGTATTTCACATGATCTAGTGTCTCCATCCGTCTAGGCGACATTCACACCCACTTGATATGGACATGTATATTAAGATGAGGCAGGTTCAACCCCAGCCCGACCACCTAGGCTCTGACTCTTTTACTAAAAAAGGCTTTGGGTCCAAGCTCATAATAAAATTTTGTAAGGGACCAAAAAATTCTAAGACGTCTCCGCCACAAAAGGGAAGGAACAAATGAGAACCTGAAGAAAAGAAAAACTTAACAGTCGTGCCAAGAAAAGTCTATGAACCCAATAAGTTTCTTGCATGCTAGTAACGTTGGTACAAAGGGAAGTCCTTTAGTGCTGGGCAACGGTGAAGGTGGTACGATATTTCTATAGTCAATTACAAGTTCTTGCACTGGAATAATATCATTAATTTTTTTAACAAGACAGCTGTTGTCAGTTTTTTTCTTCCTTGATGGCTTCATATTTTGGGAAAAAGTGTTCATATTTATTTAAAAGAATTTCTCAAATAATTGGGAAAGTAAAAGGAGGGTGTGAGTTCATTTTATTTGTTGATACCCACAGGGTTGCCATAGGCAACTAAAAAGTGACTATTTGCAACCATTTTCGACCTGAGGCTACTTTTTTTTGTTGCCTGAAATGGCTTAAATAGCTACTATTTTCAGGAAAAGGAGTCTATTGGGAGACTTTTCTGTGCTCCTAGCGATTTTTTTAAAAGCATGAATTGGGTTGACAACCTGCAACCCATGTTAGCTTCTGAACATAATAATTTTTTTTTCTTAAAAAAAAAGAAATGCTGAATTGAAAATTTGAGTTATCACTTCTTAATGCACTCAATTTGCACAGATTCCATTGTTAATCTATTTTGTTTCTCAATCGCCTTTTCAACAGTTATTGCTACGAAATTCTGCATGATTTTGAAGAACCCCAATTTTTAATACGATATTATAATGCATGAAGTTTGAAATTTAGTAATAACTTTTCAATATATATGTATATATATATAAAAATATTTGCTAAATCAATCATTGATAAAATGGAAAATTATGTGAAAGGAAAAATTAATAGAAAGAGTATGTTTTTTTTAACAAAAATTTTTTTTTACTGCAAAAAACCTTTTTTTTTATATAAAAATTTAGTGCTAGAACATTAACGTTTATTTAAAAGTTATTATATTGTCCATCAACTTGACTAAATAGATCATGTTATATTACAATGAAGTCATTTAATAAATTGAATAAATTTATATTATTGAAAAAGTTTTGTTCTTATTAAGGCAACTATTTTCATAAATTTTCAACTATTTTCATGCTTTAGGTTACTAGAAGCAACTATTTTGTTCAATTTTTTCTGTGGCAACTCTGAACCCGTGGCAAAGTGTCATTTATATAGTCATGAATCTTAGTTTAAGTCCCCATCAAGCCACAAATTGAACTAGTTTGAGCCTAAAAAGCATGGCTTTCAAAACAACAAAGTGAGAAGCAAAGTACTGCAATGACAGAGAAACTGACAAATTTAAAGACAAATTTTTTCATTAATTAGTCATTTCAATAAATTATTTATATAATAATTAATAAATCATTTCAATAATTTCTTCCTGGCCATTTTCTTTTCCCTCTTAAATCAGACGATAAATAAAAATGAAACAGCGTAAAACTGCAAAGATTTTTGTGTGACTAGAGATTTAAACCAACCATCTTATGAGTGAAAAATGGCCTATTGTGCCACTGGGACAACTCAAAGGTTTAAATTTTTTTCTTCTGCAGTCCAAAGGGCATTTTTCAGATTAGCTTTGAAATAATCAAATGACCACAAAATAAATTACATTTTTGAACAAAAAAAAAATTATTACATTCACCTGGAAATCAAAGATGTTTTGTTTGATGCCAAGGTTTTGTCTCATTTAGTGCCAAATTAAGGTAAATTTTGTGAAGAAACTTAGTGACATTTCGTGACTTATAAGTCTGATGTCATGTCTGAACTAAACTCCTGTATGCTATTCGTTTGTAAATGTTGAAGTTTTAGTGACTTTCATGCAAAAATCTATGACTTTCAGCTGATCACTTTAATATTTTGTTTTAATTTTTTACTGTTAACTGACAAAGTCATATAAATATTTATTATTCATTCTGTCGTGTATGGAACTCTAATTAATTAGCATATTCAATTTATTACATGATTGATAAATATATTACATGATATCTATACTAAGTTGGCTCAATAGAACTAAAAGTTATTCAGGTTTATTTTTCTTTTGCTCACTGTACTTGCTGTACTGTATTAAAATGTATATTATTAAAATGTATGTACTGTATTAAATGTGTATAAAGATGTATATTTTTTTGGAAATAGATTGTTATATTCAGTGTTTTAATTAAAATTTCTATCAAACTTCTGTGAATTCTCTTATATGAAATTCTTTTATTTAGGTTCAGGTGGCTATGGATATTTAAAAGAATGGATTTGGTGGGCTGGATTACTTAGCAGTAAGGCCATATTCTGCTATTCTTGAGTGTATTTACTTATCTTAATGAAAAACCTCAAAATCTCTCCAAGTTATTGTAACAAAAATATTTGTTTGGTACTTTTCCAATTTACTGTTCTTCAGTTTTAAATTTTAAAATATAATTTTTGTTTAAAAAAAGCCATTGCAGACACTAAAAATAATACCGTATGATGTTACCTTTTATCCCAAAATTAATTTCAAAACATTATATACCTATATAGTAAAATTTCTAATTTCAATTAACTTTGAGAAAACATCAGAATTATAACTATGCAAAATTTAGAGGTACTAATTAAAAGTGCCCGAACTTTAAATGTTTAATAATTAATTTTTTATGAAAATATTTTTAACCAATGCCTATTTAAAACAAGTATAGTTCAACGGTTTATTTACAAATTAAAGATGTAAATAATTTATATGTATTAAAAAATAAAGTTAACTTTTCTTCAAAGTTGAAGGCCAAAAGTTTAGTAAGACTTTTGACTTTTTCTAGAAAAAAATAATTTATAAGAGAAAAATAGTACATCTGTGACTTTCCAAGAACAATATGTTGTGCACAACTAAATGACTATCTTGATTAAATCAAACAGTTTCTGGGTCAAGCAGCTAATCCAACAAGCCTTTTCATTTGGCTACTCAGTATTACCCCACTTTCTCCAACTACTAGTCATAGATATATCATTATATTTATTAAATTAAAGTATTGTATTCTGTGTATTTTTAAAAAGTTTCTAATTAATGTTTAAAAAAAGTTGTATTTTTAAATTACAATTTGTTAAAAGTTACTTTATCAATTTCTAACTATGGACTTTGTTATTCATAGTTATTAGGTTTAAGTTGATGTAATACAATCTGTTTACCTTACAATTCAAAACTTTTCTGATTGTTATTAAATTCATTTAAAAATTGAACTTTTAAGTGATTTGAAAAATATTTGCGCATAATAGTGAAATTCAGTTTTCCAAAAGTAATTCCATATAAAAAAATTTTTTAATTTTTTATTTCATAATAGTCAAAAAATTTTGAATTGTAATAATCAAAAGTTATTCTGGTTTTCTTTTTGTACACTAGAAAAGTTTTGATTTTCTAATAAAAACATTTGTCAAGAAATAAACTAGAGAATTAATTATTTTATGCTTTAACTACTAACTCTTTTCAGTGGGAATCGGAGAAGCTGCAAATTTCATTGCATATGCATTTGCACCAGCAAGTTTAGTGACCCCTCTTGGAGCTTTGAGTGTTCTTGTAAGGTAAGAAAATTTTAAATCCCTGTAGAAATAGGTAGATAAGGTTAAAAAAAAAAAGCTATGCAACAGGTGATTCAAGTACAAGCGCATATGGGGCTGGTGAAAAGGGGGAGCAATCATCTGGAACACAAAGTTAGGGGTGGGAATGAACGAAACACAGATTTCATGTTCTCTAAATTAATATTTTCCTCTTTTTAAAATATTGTTCTCTTGAAAAATATATTTATAAGTTTAATTACGTATTTTGAGGAACTTTATTTATGGTTTAAATTCGATAAGAAAGCCTTTTACTAACAGTGAAAAGTAAGTGTATGGCTAAAAAACCGCATGTTAGACATTGAATAGAATCAAATCCACATTTCCCACGGCTTTAGGAACCATTAAATAAACTAAGGTGAGGTGGGCATTGCTTTAAATTTCATACTAATGTTTTAAAAAGTGAATGCTGGACAAAAGCACTGGGAGTAGGGACCTTGGACAGTGACTGTATACAAAGGTGCCCATTGCCCACCAAGGCTGGTGAAGACCTACCCTTAAATTTGAAAAATCTGCTTTCTTTTCGAAAACAACAAAAACGCGTATAAATTTTTTATTTGAACAACAATTTTCTGACTTTATTATGTAGTGAGTAATGGTATGTATTGTGTAGTGAGTGTTTGCATCACAGCTGAAGATAAGCCTGCAGCCAGAGCCACAGTAGCCAATTACTGCCTTAGCAGCATAAGCCAGTAGGTCCTGCTCCTCAGGAGGGAGATAAGCAGGAACAACAACTAAGTCTGATTGATTCTGTCACCATAAATGGTTAAGATAGAATACTGGGGTGGTAACTAACCATCTTGGTTGGATATAGGAAGAAATTCCTCTTCTAAAAGCTCTATGCCTGTATCAACTCTAAATATAGATGCTGGTGATTCAGGTGGTATAGTGATATCAGACCCACTGTCCAGCTCCAGACCTGAAAAATCAAGAGCATCAAAGGTGCTTACTTCGGCGGAATCAAGAGATTTAACATCTTTGAAAGCAGCCTTCTGTTCTATTCTCTCAAGCTCTTCACCCTCAGTTGAGATAGGATGAACATCCGATGTTTTTGAAGCCTCCTCTGCCTTTTTCCTATTTGGATTGTGTATAATTTTAAAAACTCCATGATCCACTCCAGTGACAGCCCCATAATTGGCCCCCACAATATCAAATTATTTGCCTTTTCAAGTCAGCATTTTGACTGTCTGCCATTTAGTTACCCATCAGGGGTATCCAGCTGGCATCACTTAGAGGCGGCACGCATAACCCCCCTTGTACACAGTACATACTGTCTTGCCTTTATGGTAGTTTTAATTATTATTATTATTTTTTTGCAGTGCCATATTCTCCTCTAAATATTTAGGTGAGAGACTTAATTTATTGGGAAAAGTTGGATGTTTTCTATGTATAATTGGTTCTACAGATATTGTGCTACATTCCCCAAAAGAGGGTACTGTTGACAGTATGGAACGGTTACAGGAACTCTTATTTCAACCAGGTATGTATATAAATATTATTTTTGCTTTAATTTATTCACTTAAATTTGAACTTAAATCCAAAATGTTGATTCTGAAAAGTGTTCGACATGTTCTGATTGAAACATAATATGGTTATAGTAATCGAAGTGCAAAGGTTAATAATCTCAACACTTATTTTTTATGCCATTTACAAATTCATAAATTTGAAGTGACAATATGCTTCAGTATCTGAAAATATATGCCCTTAATTTACTGCATTTTCAAGTGTATTCCAGTTTTTTATTGTTTTTGCTGAAAATTAATTTATTTCCGAAGGCCTGCAATCCAGTACCACCTATTTCCTAAATTGTACCACCCTCAAAATTATTTAGTATTTATGATTAAGTGAATAGTTAGATCATGTGTAACAAAACTATTGTTTAAAAACATAATAATTAATTTGATATTATGGTTTTGAACTGTTGCAAGTATGTTAACAGTAACATAAACCTATAAAATGTTACAGGAACATAATATTACATGCTACCAAATTCAAGTGAAACTTTTATGTGTGCTGCTTTTTAAGGCTGCATTTTTTTAGGATTCGTATCCAATTTTCCTTTTTTAGTTTTTAGAAATAAGGAAATTGGTCCATTTGAACCATTGACATTGAACAGATTGATCTATTAAATTACATTACTAACCAATAATTACTCAATCATTACTCGACTAACCTAAAGGTTCATCACTTAAATGCTTTTCATCACTTTTTTTCCCTTGAAAATAAAAAATAAATCTCATTGTTGAGATATTAAATCCCTTTAAATTTGCTGAAATAGTTTCATTTCTTTCAGATTAATTCACATTTAGGTTGAGGTTTTCTGCTGTTAGAAAGTCATTTTAATTAAAGAACCCTTTTAAACATTGTTCTCAGTTATTGTAGTCCTATTATAAGCCTCACTCACAAGATGAAAAGTTTATTTAGTTTGTTTGTTGTTCTAATTCATTATTTTGATACCTTCTGTCGCTGAGAAGTATGCTGAAATTAATACTGTTATTTGTTGATTTATTCTTGTTTCTATGGATACTGTGTTTTTTGTTCTTGTTAGAATTCCTGGACCTCCCATGTGTATGATTCCGGTTTTCATGATGTTTGACAGTAATTTTTTCCAGTTTGCTAGCATTACTGTAATGAAATTCATTGGGATGTGAGACTATTATGCGAATATGAAATTAGGCCTTAAACATTTATATGCTATATTTAGTAAACTTATTGGTGGCCTGGATTTTCTAAGATTTTCATGTAGGATAACATGATTTTCATGTAGGATGCTAAACAGTATGTTGATTGTGTTTCTTGATGCGTTATTAATTATTGGTAAATAATTATTTGTGATTTGTTAGTTCATTAGGAAAAATAGTGAATATAAAAAAGGTTGTTTTTCTTTTTTATTTAGTACATTTGATTAAACTAGCTCTGTTATGTTCTTGTGTTGAAACTGGAGGAATATTGATTTTTATAATCTCTTCTTTGAGTGCTTTATGTAATGGACAGTTTATGTCAGATTGCTAGATATTTAATACCATATCTGTCAACAAAAATCCAGAATTCTATTTTTTAAAGCTATGTGCCTGGTTAGATTTAATTTTAATGAGGTAAAATTATTAGATATAGGAAAAATCAATGATTCATTGGCAGCAAGCAAGGCCCTTTCTATTCCCTTACGGAGACCTACACCTAGTATGAGTATAAAAGAAAATAGTCGTCCTGAAAAGGGTCACATAACATAGCAAATCACATAAATATATGTTTGTTGTTAAAAATGGTATGATTAACAAAAAACAAGAAAAGAAGCCCTCCAGATCCATTGAATAACAGTAAGTTAAATGAATGTATGTGATTAAATTTCATAATAAGAGCTGTGACTGATGGTTAGCAATAATGAGCTAGGGTTTAAGGCAGAAAGATTGTGAGAAGGATAATAAATTTAGTCAAAAGTTTTCATCAAGGATCAAAATTGAGGATCAAAAACTTAAAGAAAAATTAAAATTCAAAACAAAAAAAATCATGTAGAAGAATGTTTGATTTGAGAACAAAAGAAAAGGCAGGTTTAAACATATTCAAAGAAAAAAAAAAGAAATTGTCAAAAATAGAAATTAATATTTAAAAAAACAGTGTTTTGCCAAAAATGAAATGAAAAAGTGTTCTTAAAAAAATATAATAAAATAGGTAAGTTCAGCAAAAAACTTGTGAGTGGGTTGATCAATGTCATGAACATTGCATTAAATTGAAGGTAGGTATGTGACTTATAAAGACAGCAAACACTTTAAATATTAGTTTGATTTTTAAATTAAAAGTAAAAAATTAAACTAATCAAAATTATTAATAAAAAAAAGTTGAATCGTAAAAACCTAAAAGAACATTAGAGTAAAAACAAAAATAACATAAAACTAAAATTTAAGAAGAAATAGTCAATTGTTATTAAAAAGGAAAAGAGAACTAAAAAATAATACCAAAAATGCATTTGAAAAAATTTAATTAGCTGTGCTGTTCAAAAAGAGACAAAAATACAAAAAATTAGCATAAGACTAAAATAATTAAAAAGAAAAGTGAAAAACATTGAAAAGTAAAATTGGCTGAGTTAAAAATAAAAAAAGAAACCCTCCCAAAATCCCAGGTCAACACATTAAATAAATATTACGGGCATGAGGTGGAAAAAAAATCAAACCTTAGGCCCTCTGTCTAGCATAGATTCAATAATTATGTGGAACCAAAACATGTGTAGGTTTTAATAATAATTTTACTATTTCTGATTTTGATTGTCATTGATGAAATTAATTTATTTTACTTGTTTTTGAAACTGCATTCCATCTGATTAAAACTATAAGGTTTACAATTAAGTTTTAAAAAGTGATGCAGTTGTTAATTCAGTATTATAAGATTTCCTATATGCTAGTGACAATATTTTTTATCAGAAAGATTTTTAGGTTCAAATAAATACTTTCAAATAAATAACTTCTTGACTGAACTCAATAGCGGAAGGGGTGAAGACAAAAGAGAAAAATTATCAATATGCTTTTAATACTCTTTATTTAATTTTTAAAAATAAACTGATGGTGGATATTTTTTCTAACCGATAGTATCTTCCAATACATGTAAAATACAAGGCTTTCCCCTAATAAGAATTTGCGATATAAAGCGTGTAGTATGTTACATTTTCGATTAATTTTTTCTGATAAAAAAGGCAACAAAAAAAACATTAAAGGCAAATATACTTTTTAATAAAATAACATAATTAAATACATGCAAAATAACATGTTTTTGCTTTTCAGGTTTTGTTACGTATGTATCAGCTATCATTTTCATGTCAAGTGTTTTAGTTGTATACTGCGTTCCTAGATATGGTACTACGAATGTAGTAATTTATGTTCTTATCTGTTCTATGATTGGCTCATTATCTGTGATGGAATGTAAAGGTCTTGGATTAGCTTTACGAGAAACTATTAGTGGTACACAAAATGAACTTACTAACTGGGTGACTTGGTTATGTTTGATTTGTTTAATTCTTTGCGTTTCTGTTCAAATTAACTATTTGAACAAAGCTTTAGACACTTTCAATACATCTGTTGTTACTCCAGTTTATTATGTCATCTTTACTACATTTGTTATTTTTGCTTCTGCAATTTTGTTTCAAGAATGGAGTGTATTATCTAGTAAAGATATCATTGGAAGTGTGTGTGCTTTTTTAACTGTTATAAGTGGTATCTTTTTGTTGAATGTTTTTAGGGAATGGGATATAACCCTTAATAATGTAAGTTTTCAAAAGAAAGAACCTTCAATTGACATAATTGAACAATGTCACTCTCATGTGAATAACGAAACATCAAATTTGCTTGAAAGACATTCGCGGAATAATAGTATGGAAAGTAGATTCTTGTCCTCAATTAATATGGAATAGTTTTGCTTCCTATGAGTTCAGGGAATGGGCCTTTAAAACATTAGCTGCATTTTTAAAGTTTCTGCTACTAAACATACTTCAATTTTTATAAAAAAAAATAAAAAAAATTTTGATATAGATTACAAATGTTGAGGAGAAAATATAAAATATTACTAATTTTAAAAATTTATATCCATGCTATAATTATTACATATTGTTCCGGCCCTCTAAATTGTGCAAAAATGCATAATTTACAATTGACCTTATATTTATCAAATTTGTTTTTATTTTTCAACATTTATCAGATGTGTCTATGGTGTTTTTCCCATGCAACTTTTGTACCATTTTACGGGTATCTCTTTTGAATAGTCAAAATTACAATCATTATAATTTTTGTTTTTGTAATATGCCAAAATGAAAAATAAAATATGCACAATAAGATTAAAAAAATCTATTAATTTTATCTCAATTGTTGTAAAAGTCATTGAAAAATCCTTTTTTCGTTCTTTTACTGTGTTGTTCCCCCTTAAATAATTTTAAGAAATAACTAAGATACAATTTACCTTTAACATTCCAATAAAATGTTAAAATTTACTTAATAATACTATTACTTTCGTCAAACTATAAAGAAGTTTGTATTTAGTGCTGCCATTGATTGGCTAAAAATAAACACTTCACAAAAATTGCGGTATAATTTTCTTCTTTATGTTTTCTGAAAGTTTCTCGAAATTTCATTTTTAACCAAAATAAATAGTCAACTTAAATATTGATGATGCCTATGTACTCAAAACTAATGTAGAATAGAATGATCATCTATAAAACTTGCATGTTCTATGCAAAGAAAATATTAGCAAATGTTCTAAGCTGGACTTACTTAGATTCTAGAATCAAAGACAATCTCAAAGAGATTTCCAAAAATGTAAGGAAGGTGCTCACTGTGCTGCTTAGGTGCTCAAGGGGCTCACTGTGCTCAGTAGTCTATGAAACGGCTGTATACTGTTACAGCCAAATTTTTACAAAACAAAGTTTGCCTTCTGAACTAGTTCTACTTAAATTTAATAATCGTTGTGATGTTGATTATGATTATAAGGTAACATAATTATAATCTTTGCTGTTTTGATTTAAAAAATGTTATTGAGAAAGTAAAGAATGAATTGTATTGTAAATTATTATGTAATGTAATGAAATTGTAATGTAATTTAATGAATTGTAATATAATATAATGAATTGTAATGTAATGAAATGCAATGTAGTGTAATGAATTGTAATGTAAAAATGAAAATAAAGCTTTTTATATCAATTTGAGTGTTTTTTCTATTTTAGTTGTTTTCTAGATCATCTGCAATCTGTCCAGAATAAATTGCATAATTTATAGAAAATTATGTATTGCAATTGCGTGAAAGTTTACAAATATGGAGACTATAATGGAAAACCGCCGAAAGTCTTAAAGAGTGATTGCATGGTCACATGCTGGAGAATTTTTTTTTAAATGTAGTTTTAGTTTTTAAGAAATAGTAAATGCTGCATTTTTATATACATATAAGTAATTTTTGTTAATTTTGCATGATTCTTTAATTTTTTAATCCAAATATCTTTTTTGTAAGCATAAAAATAAATTTTTTATAACAATTGAAGATAGTGTCATGTGGAACGGAGCTGAAATTGCCTAAATAGTTTTTTTGAAATCAGTAGATGAATTCAGCTAATTAAAAAAATTTATTTAATTACAATATAATATTTATTTTCCAAAATACTAAACTTTTGCAAGTGCCCCTGTATCAGAATTTTTTTAGACTTTCTGCGATAAGTATTCCTAGCACTAATATCTTTCTGAAAGATATTTTTCTTAAATAACAATTAATAATTTGAAGTAACAAAAGAGCGTTGTGTTTATAATAGAAAATAAACCCTACTCGTATAGAATGTAGTGTAATTTTTTTAATTGTAAATATATTATGTTTTTTATTTTAATGTCATGAGTGATATTCGAGCATTTTGTTAGTGAAAAATTGCACTAATTATCTCCCTTTTCGAATTTTGTGAATCATTATTACATTAAGCAAACATAATTAAAAATCGTTTAAACCTCAGTAGTAATTACTGAAAAAAGATGGATGATAAAATCAGGCTCTTTAAAAAGAGGTTACTAAAATGCGTTCACGATATGGTTTGTTTCACGATATGGTTGTAATAAATAATGTATTCAAAGTAGTAAACTTCAAAATTTATGTGGAAATCAATAGCCATAACTACCAAAAAATAGAGAAAAAAAACGATTGAACCATTGCTTTGGCGCGATTTGAATTTCGCACGTTGAAATAATATCAACTGAGAAGTACCAGAATTTTAAAAAACAACGTGGAAATCCACGTAGCATTAGCAGAAACTGCCAAAAATTCAAAAAAAAGAAATCGTTACATTTAAAGTGAATAATTGAACGCGCGAATTGAATTTCGCGCGTAATTGTATAAAAAAAATACCAGGATTTTTTTTTTGAAATTTGAAAATTCGTAGCAATGTCTGTCGAAAAAAAAAAAAATTTTTTTTTTAGAACGATGATATCGGCAAAAACCGAGCATGTCAAAAAGTGTTTTCTTGAATGCGCGATTTGAACTTCACATTCCGTAATAACGTAGCTGCCAACTGTTCTAATCGTATTTGTCCTGATTGTTTAGCCTTGTTCCGAAAATACGATTTTAGGTCAAAATGTTCTAATTTTTAGGTATTCAAGCGCCAATTTTCTCCTTATACCGATTTTCTTTCAACCCAAGGCAGGGCATGCAGGGCCGTCTTAATAGCAAGCAGGGCCCCCGGGCACAGAAATGTTTTGGGCCCCTATTACATTTCATACTGTTTAAAATAGAACTAAAAAATTTCACATGCATAAAATTAAGCATTTTTAAGATATGCAAAAATTTTAAACACATTTTTATAGCCCCAAATACTCAATGCACATAAAATAAAGCATTTTTAAATTAGGCATAATTTTTCTTAAAAAAATGAGATGCTAACAAGTCCTCAAATAGTAAGTAATTTTCAAAACGAAGAAGCTAATTAAAATAAGTAAATTAAAAAGCATTTTTGTAACCGTTGCTGAACAGCCGACCCAATTTTTGGGTTTACGACTACCAATGTTCAATTCCACAGCCTTGTAATTTTGAACCAATCCAGAAGACAAGGAAACTCCTGGATCCCAGAGGTATGACTTGTTATGGGAACATGAAGGACTTTGTGACTCGACAGACTTAACGTGCATCAGTCACCATTTACTACACGGGGAGTTTTCGGTCGGTGGAGATCGAACCCACGATCATGGGCTACATAGGCCCAGTGCCCTACCAACCAGGCTATCCCGGTCAAGGGTTAAACAATTTTTTCATTTTTCATTACAACCGTCATTGAACAGCTTACCCAATTTTTGGGTTTACGACTTCTAATATTCAACTCTGTAGCCTTTTACTTTTGAACTCAATAAAGAAAACAAAGGAGCTCTTTTATCAAGTATCGGGAGAAATTTTGCATTCGTGGAGTACTTTTTCAGTGGAACTAACCCGAATTTAGATTACATGGAGATGAAGACCACGAGAGCCTCCCACGGTTAGTTTGACGGCAAAGGGATTCTAACCCATGATCCGTCTGCCACTGAGGATATTTCACGTCAGCATTGTGGTTTGTGCAAGCCGGATGCGGAATTCGTATCGACCAGCCATCGCCGGGATTCGATCCCGCTTCACCTCATTGGAAGGCGAGAGCTCGATCCCCTGAGCCGACGGCTGATATGTATATTTCAATCATATCTAGGGAACCAATTAATAATCAGTTTTTAATTATTGCAGTATAATTTAATTAGGTTTTAAAAATGTCCTTTCGAGTGGCACAGTTAGATGCGTAAATTTAAATTAATTATTTTTCATAATAAATATTAAAAAAAAAGGAGTTTGNCGACCTGCACGCGAAGTCGAGCACTTTACGGTAGAACAGTTTAACGAGGACCCATACCGCACATCCTCGGCCCCTACGCACACTGATCCAAGTAGTTACCCACCCTCACACTGACCGTAGCCAGTGATGCTTGACTTCGGTGATCTCAAGCATATTCAGAGACATTATCACTTAGGGAGTTGAGCACCTAAAAACTTCATTTTAACGAAGAAAAATAGATTTCGGCTGACTTTTTATTTTTCCTAGTGATAAACTATTCAAACTATTGGTGTTTGCATGGTAATCAATCACTATTCTTAGAAAAAAATGCGCACAGTTTTTACACTAGTATATATCTCAGAAAGCATGCAACCTTACGGCTGTCAGAATTTTCTTCTTATTGTCGAACGAAAGTGTTTGCACTAAAAAACTTTTTTTAATAAGGCAAAAATATTGCAGTTTTTGAGCCTTTCATCCTAAAAGGATTACAAATTATTTTTTAGGACTTTTTGTTTTAAATAAGTGTTGTCACTTAAGTAAAATGGTCACTTAGGTCCGTAATGACGGTTTAGCTGACGTCACACAAACGATAGGATCAAACTGCATTGCTCATTAAAATTTCATGGCAAGGTGGATTTTAGCTGAGCACTTTGTGAAAAGAAACCTTATAATTACCTAGGTTTAAGAGTAGTTTTCCCCTTCAGACTAGCTTTATGAAAGGATTTTTTTCACGCTTGAAAACTCTAAGTCAACCTCGATTTAAGGTTTTTATATAGAAGGTTGTTTTCCAAGGTTTTGGATTAGAGTAATGTGCGTAGAATAGAGCAGATTGTCACAGATCTCATTTTAAGGTTAGAAGATTTACACGTTAGCCGCATAACCAACCTTTTTAGGTTTACATTAAAAGGTTTTTACTGAGTGAAAATAAACCATATTTTGCTATTTGGGATTTATTTAAAAAATTATATAATGCAAAGTTGTTTATTCTTAGTTGTTTTTTTAATACAATTTATAAAAAGTAAGACTCTCAAGGGCCCCCTGAGTGCCTGGGGCCCCTGGGCACTGCCCGGGTGTGCCCATGCGTAAAGACGGTACTGAGGGCATGTTATTTTTTCGCTACGCGAATATCGCAGAATTGAAATTCCTCATATTATCTGAAGACCATTGTACAGCGGACTTCTGCGAATCAAAAACTTAGAATCCGACAATATTTTGGAACTTTTGTTTAATCTCGTTAGCTAGACATTTACATGCATATCATTCTTCCGCCTAATTGATTCCTTTGGTTTCGCTGATTTCCGCCATTTTGAATATTAGGAACTGCGCCGGAATCTGCTGATATTGCAATTCTTATTCACTCGATTTTAATGTCAGTAATCGATTTTCGTATTTAACTTATTTAAAAGTCAGGCGTTGCGATTCGTAATTACGTGATTTGTATTAATTCGTTTTTAAAATCCAATATTGCGATTCGTATTCACGCGGTTGTAATATCGATTTTCGTATTTATACGGGATTTAAAAACTATGCATTGCGATTCGTATTCACGTGATCTAAAAATTATGCATCGTGATTTGTAATTGAGCGATTTAAAAATTCAGTATCCCAATTTGTATTTTCGTGGTTTTAATATCTAATTTTGTGTTTTATATTCACGTGATTTTAATATCCAACATCGCAATTCATATTCACGCGATTTTAGTACAAATTAAATGATTTCTAGTTGGATGTAAGTTTTTTCTTGAATTAGTTGCAATAAAGGTGTGATATTCTACATTAGTAAGTAATTTCATTATAACTGTTAGTTTGAAAAATTATGTTAAATATGAAACGTACATGGTTTATAAATTGATATTTTGTTTTTCACTTTGTGTCATATTTACCACTGATTGGCTTATCATGCTTTGTGTTCCTATTTTTGTTTTAAACATGTTGGCAGCTATGTTTAATAATATTGGTATTTTTGCCAAAAAAAAAAAGAAAAAGAAAGAAAAACACAAAAATATTAATAGTAATAACTGAGCAATGAAAGACGGTAGAAATTTAGTAAATATTCGTATCAAGAATTGCCGACAAAATGATCAAAACACTACACAAATTTACTACGGAATCGACGCAATTTATGAGCTTCCAATCAGGTGTTCCGGGTTCAAATCCCAGCGATGGCTAGCCAATACAAATTCCGTACCCAGCTCGCACCAACCACAGTGCCGACGAAAAATATCCTCAGTGGTAGACGGATCATGTGTTGGAATCTCCTTGCCATCAGGCTAACAGTGGAAGGTATTTTTCTCCATGTAATACAATCAAAAAGACCGCCACAAAGGCAAATTTCTTTCCCATCTGATGCGCAAGAAAAGTATCTTTTGAATATAATTTTTCAGAAAAAAAAAATATTTCGAGGAATTCTGCAGAAAAATAAACTAAAATCTTCTACTTGCCAAATGAAAAATCTTTAACTGACTACTCAGTAACGTTCTGCAACAATGTTGCCATATCACCGCGGTTTCGTCACGGGGGCATATGTTTTTCAATACTTTTAGTAATGTTATAAGTCATTGTAATTTTTTTTTTACATTTTTGCTTAGTTTGTGATTAAGCAATGTTATTGCACATAACAATACATAACGAAACAACTTTGAACTTGATTTTTACCCATTGTAGACCATACAGTAAATTTTTACATTTATTTAAAACAATTTAACAAAGAGGTTTTATCTTATGAAGATCTATTAAATGAATATATCAAACTTAAATTTCTATCCTTAAATTCTGAATGAAAAATTTTAGAGTGTGTTTTGACTTCTCCTAAGAAGTCTTTAAAAGGGTTACAGATTCGGACATCCTAAGGGTTTTCATTTGTGAAACTATAAACACTTTTTCTTCAGAACTAGATTGGCTGAAAATTCATACTGATGGTTCCCAATTGCAGGAGGGACATAACGTTGGAGTAAGGTTCCACTGTATCCCTTTTTTTCCATTTGGAAACCAAGCTGGTGCATCTCGAGACAAATATAGCCAGTGGCGAGCCGGAAACTCCGTCACGGTTTTATGTCTGAGCCATTTTAAGATTACAAATTACAATTAATTTGACTTTGCAGTACTTTTGAATTGCTCTAACAGCAAGGTTCTTTCTGAACTTTTAAGACATAATATTTTTGATTAAACGTTTTATTGTTCCAAAAGATACACTAAAAAATGATGCTTGAAGAGTCAAGGCTTTCCTAGTGAATCAGCAATCTCATTGCCATGGATTCCACAATGCCCAAGGATCTATTGTAAAACAATGTATTTTTTGCCGACTGGTAAGCTTTGTAACTATCTTCAACATTCAGGTAACTGAGGTTGACAACAGATTTCAAAATGATTTGAGAATCACAGAGTATGACAGTTTCTGGCCAGTTGCCAGCAATTCACTATCAAATGCAGTTGTAAATGGCATATTGGATTCATCCATAGATTATGACCACAACTGTTTCTCATATTCTCTGTTTTTTGTCTTTATATTTGTTCTCTATATAGTTCTTTGTGTATTTGTTGCTGTAGTTGTCTTTTAATCTTATTAGAAATTTTTAAAAATCTATGAAATAGGAATGAAAATGAAATGAATAGGAATGAAAAGAAAAAACTTTTCCCTAGAACTGCTTTTATATTTCTCCTTAAATCTGAAATTATTAAGATAATTAGTTAAGATAATTAGTAAGTTATTAAGATTTGTAAGAGATAAAGTCCCGAAAAATTAGTCAGGTATTAATTTCAAATGTAAAATTTGCTTTATTGATAATTGAAAAATATCTGAACTTTTCATGGATGTTATTTTTCTTGAATAATTGAAATCAAACATTGAATTTGCCATCTACTGGGCAGTTATACGGATGTTAAGCATGACTATGATTTCATTACATAGGGATTGAATTTGCAATAAATTTCTTTGTTTTATTTTAGGAACATTGAATACTATCTTCCAACACTTGCTATATCAGTTTCGTTTTTAGATTTTCCCCAACAATAAATATTATTTGGTATTTCCCTCATTAGTATATGTTAATTCCGCGAAATCTTTTTCAAACCATATGAGTCCATTAAAATGAGATTAAAAATGATTACTTATTATAGAAAAAAAATTTGGTCTAGAAAAAGGGATTTCATTTAAAAAAGATATCAAAAAATTTGACTAGTCTTACAAATTTGTAACACATAGTCTTCACAGCATTATAATTTCAAACAAATACAACATGATAACAAATGCTTGGTCTTATAAATTTGTGAAACATTGTCTTTTCAGCATAACTCCGAACGAATGCATAAATATACTACTACTAATCAAAAATATTTTCTTGAAAGAAAAAATGGTTGAACGTTAAAATATGAAACGTTTCTAACGGATATTCAGAATTCTATACTGTGGAGTTGTGTTGCATTATTTTTCTTATCAACAGTTTTATCTGTGTTTTATTAAAAAGAAACACACACACTTTTTGATATCGTGAATAAATAACGCTGGTTGTACAAAGACAGATACGAAATTTCACGTTGATCTTAACAATGTCAGGCTTTTTATAATAAATAAATCATGAAATATGTTTATTTTCTTCTCATTTTCTATTTTGTGACCGACAGTTGGAACAAAGTACTTGGTGTTATTTGTAAGTAACAAGTGCAATGTTAAATAATATGTTAAATAAAATGCTAGCACTGTTAAACTAGTTAATAGAATTTGTGAATTTTATTTAACTAATATATAATTCAAATTATCAGCTTGCATATAAGAAATTGTGTTTATTTCGTTAATTAGAATTAAATTGTGAATAGTGTTCAAGTAAATGAATTTGTTGATATTTCTCTAAAACATGACCACTACATGATTGATACGATAGCTTTAGTCGGAAATAATCAAAATCTAAAGCTTATCTGAGTTTTTTTTTCTTTTTAAACTATCAGAGTAACGCAAATTACAATAAAAACAGTTGTTTATAACACAAGATACAAAATTTTGCTAAACACTTTGTATTTTAAAAATATCAACTTATCTCAGTTTAAGTAAGAAGAACCTGTTGACTAACTCTACGTGTTGACAACATTATAACACAGTTGCAAATTAATTATTATAGTGGTTGAATGAACTGTTATTTTTACAATAAAATTTGTTTCAAGTCTTTATTATTTTATCAAGATTTAATGTAAATTAAGAAAAACATTTATTATTAAATAATTAATATTTGAATATCATTTCAACACATGTTAATAATTTTTCTTATAATACATTTAAAGAAATTATGTTAATGTCATCACTAACTTCCTGGACAATTATAAGGGGGATTACTTTTTGTGGAATTTCTTAATAATTATTATGTAATAGCATTTAAGAATAATTTAAACTGAAAAAAAAATAAAATAATAATCAAAGTAATTTTTGTTTTTATGATCAGATTTTCACGTACTAAAAATAAATCTTAAAAGTTTGAAGAGTTAACTTCGAATAGCAACTGGGGTTACTTTCCTTCCGTTAAAATTTCTAGTGAAGTTTTCGTGTATAGTGTTATTTAAAAAACACGAATCATCCTGAATAATTTGTGATGTAATGATCGAATCTTCACGTACTAGAACTCAATCTTATGGCTCGAAGGGGTGAATCTCAAATATACTACTTAATTTGTGGAGACGACATTTTAAGCTATGGAATCAGTATTAAAAAATAATTAAAAAAGAAAAAACATACTATCTCTGAATAAATATACCTTTTTATAACGGATTTGGGTTTTTGACCCCCAAAATATAGGGGCTAGCCGCAATCTGGGAAATATGGTCTCGAGAGTTTGATCAAGAGAGTGCAAAGATCAAGAGTGGTGCAAAGTTTGCTCCTACATTTTTGGGGTCACAAATCGAAATCAGTAAAAAAAAAAAAAAATATGTTTATTCAAAGTTTTTCATAATTTAAAATATCGCCTGTACAAATTGATTAGCATATTTATAGTCACACTCTTGAATCACTTAGATTGAGTCCTAGTACGAGTAGATTTGATCATTAGATCAAAAGTTATTCAAGGTGGTTAGCTTTTTTTTAAATTTTTATTTTATTTTACGTACTGTACTTCTCTATAATAGGAGAAAGAAAAATAACTAGGCTATGGGCTTATAGAATGTATTTTCCTTGTGTTTAAATGTATTTTAATTTTTTCCTGCTTAACTTAAAATTTAAGTGAAAAAATTGTTGGAAAAAGTTACTTATATAACTGAAACGATTGAAAACTATCTCTAGAGTCAATAACTGTAAAAAAAGTTTGCTTTTGAAGCGGGTGCTAAATTAGCAAAAATATACTTGAGAATACTTAAAAAAAGTTATTAATTGTTTTTATAAATTATATTTATGCTAGATACTTGATATACTGTTAAATCCTCGTTATAAAATTTTAGTAGATAACTTTTTGGGGATGAAAAAAAGAGAATATGTTGATATATTATGTAACTTCATCCATCTTGACACTTAGTTTGCTAGAATGTACTCACGCCGAGTGAAAAAAAGTTGAAAAATCTTAATCAAACAGAAAACAACGTTAATCAAAGTAATGCTGGATTAGCTGAATTCATCTATTTTTTCAAATGTTAACTTCTTTCCGATGTTTTTCAAAGGTTAACTTCTTCCCTATATTTTTGGATCCCAGGTAAGAAACCTTCAAGACGCCATCGGTATATTTTGCCAGGAAATGCTTCAAAATTTTTTTCCTAAGAAATTTCTCTACCAAGAACTTTCATGCTCTTAAACTCTAGATTCTTTTCCTAAATGAATGCTTTGTCTATATCCATTGTTCTTTATATTAACTTATTAATAGTGCAAACCATTAATAAGTTTCTAAATCAGATACAAAAATGTAATTTAACTAAATAAATGCATGTTTATATAGTGAAAGTACTTTTTTTCAACATATTTGAATTTCAGATTAGTAAAATGTAGTAGCAATCTGGAATTCCGACAGTTTAGTCAGAAGAGCGGTCAAAAATGTGAACACCTTTGACATATTTCGTTATTTCTCGAGATTTGTTTAAACGAATCGAAAGCTTTTTGTACACAATAATAAAAGTCGTTTATTCAAAGGTAACTTCATACAAAAAGTAATCATTATTTTGTTTTATAATACTCGCAAAAATTTTGAATGGTATGAAACACAAAATTTTTACATTTTAAACTAAGTTATTTTGAATGACAATATATGAGTATACAAAATTAGAGCAAAATCAGTCAAATAGTTTTAAAGAAAAATTTGAAAATACGACCTTTTTGAAATTTCATAACATAGAAACTATTCGATTGATTTTGTTCAAACTTTTGGCTTTGAGATTTGTCATTGTTAACTGATGCGGAAATTTGCATATTTTACAATTCAAAATGTTTTTAACCATTAATAAATGAAAAATAATAAATAGTTATTAAAAGTTATATTTTATATGGAAATAACTATGGATTAATGAATTTTATAATTGAGTAAAAAAATATTTTCTCTGGAAAAGTTATTACAATTCACACTCTCTATGGTGAAATTCAAAAAAAAAAAAAATGAATTTAACATTAAGGAATCCTAACTTTTGATAACTCTTCTGATTAAAGTATGGGGATTAAATGTTTTTATTGTAGCTATTCCTCGTGTTTTGATGGTTAAGAATCAAAATCCGTCGGAGCAAAGTCATATTTATTCAGAGAAAGGATGTTATCCTGTTTAATTTCGCCACTGAATTAAATATCTAATTAGTTAGCATATTTGAAGTCAAACCATTTAAACACATTTATCTATGATGTAAGGAAAGAATATAAAAGTGTATAAGATTGTTTTCTTGTTTTTTTTATTCAAGTACAGTATTTGAAATACATTCACATTGTTTGAGATTAAAGATTTCTTCTTTACTTATTAAAAACAGTGATGTGTGATTCCTCAAGCTTGACCATCTGTGGACAAGTTTCGAACAAAAAATGTAATATTTTTTACTTATACTGTTTCTATGTGTTCTACGTTTATTTCAATGTGTTGAATTTAAATAATACAATGTATTTCAGAGGAAAGAAAAAAAGTTTCGAAAACTACCTTTTTTTCTGGGTGTTATAATACGGGTTAAGGTGTTGATGACCTAAAAATTCTTAAATAATGTCTTTAAAAATTGAAAAAAAGAAACCTATAAAAATCATTAAAAATGAACTTAAAATAATAAATAACACTCTTAAAAATTTACAAAAACATGTTTTTAATTAACTTCAGTTTCAAATCATAACTTGCATTTATATATTTAATAAAAAATAAGGCGAAAATTAAAATAAATATGTAATTTAAGAATAAAAAATGCAATTAATTATGATAAAGATAAGTAAGAATTCATTAATTTTTTATTACAATAAAGAATTTCAGAATTGTATTATATTAGTATATTACCGAATGTTTTTTTAAATTTTTTTTTTTATATATTCTGAAAATTGAAAGATAATCTATTGCTCAAAGGCGAATTCTCATAGCTTGAAAAACTCAGTTCAACATTAATACTTGTTATTGAAGGATATTTAAAATAAAAAGACTTAATTCAATATTTACAAAGAAAAAAAATTAATTTTAAGCGAAATGCTCTTGAAATAAAAAAACATCATTTAAAATTCAAAAAAGATAAGGGAGAACAGAAAATCTAAAATAAGGAGAGAGAAAAAAGCCATGCATAATGTCCTATAAAGGACAAAAACAGTCAAAAATGCTTTTATCATCAGCATCCTAGCTCTTGTTATAACTCATTTAATAAACTTATTCCGAAATTATTTATAAATTAATTGAAATTATTTTAAAGATATGGAAGACATCTGTGCTCTAAATCCAACTCAGTCCATTACATTAGCATCATCGGGATATCTAAAAGCTACAAGAGGCTCTACGTATTTCGTCGGAAGGAACTGCAATTTTATTTTTTCGTCTAATGATAATATCATAATAAGTATAAAGAAAATCAACTTCAGACCTGGCTGCAAAGATTATCTCAAAGTAAGTTAAATATTAGTTTGTTTCTATTTTAAATGACAACTTCATTTTAAATTTGAAGAACAAATTCATTTTGATTCTAAGTTTGATTCTAAATTTATTTTGATTCTAAGATTGATTCTAAATTTATTCTGATTCTAAGTTTGATTCTAAATTTATTTTGATTCTAAGTTTGATTCTAAATTTATTTTGATTCTAAGTTTGATTTTAAATTTATTTTGACTCTTTCAGTTTCAAATAACACTTTAATTATTTTAATTCTGAACTACTTATTTCTATTAATTCTAAACTACACAATTTATATTGATTCTGAACAATCATTCATAGTAATTCTAAACTGTAAATTGATTAATTCACTGAACAATTTGGAAAAAAAAAACGTAATCTTTGACGAATTCATAATGGATCCATAATCATAATGTATTTGATGGATCTTTAATGTATCCATAATCACAGACCATCGAAAAAGGATAACAAACAGGGCCTTATTATCACACGGGTTTACAGCTCTAGGCGGTGTTTAAATGGACATTAAATGTCTGTTATCAATATTTATTTTTAAAAGAATATTTTTTTATTTTTTTTATTGATTAATCAATATTTGATATGCTTACTTCTTTGACTTGAAAAGCATTATTAGTTTGATTTATTAATTATTGTTTTAATCAACAGAAATCTTTATGTTTCCAATCTAACGATATAATTCGAAATCAATATTCTTACCTATTTTCAAAAAATACTATTCGCGAACGCAACGACCTATAGGAGGCGTTGTTATTTGAGACGATTGACTGCTAGCAGAGCAACAGGATCATCTGTAGCACTGGAGATTTCTTCAGTGTAGCATGGTAACGTTTCTTCTTTATTGTGGCTTATTAAATTTAAAAAAGAAAAATGTTTGATATTCTTTCTTATGCAAGCGAATGCAAAATGAAATCACTTTTTTTAGAGAAGGATCATCCGAAACTTATCAGAAATATAATTATAAATCAACACAAAAAAAATGTATCTTGAAAAATAATTTTGTTTCAGATAACTGATGATACAAAGCAAGTAGCTCTTTGTGGGTCTAAAAATGAATATGACTCTAACATGCAATATTTTGGAGAAAAAATATATATCAACTATTATACTGAAGATGGTGGCATTGATCCATATGGTTACGATGGATTTCATTTGTTGTATACTTTAAGCGAAAAAAAGTGTAAGGATGACATTTCATTCCTTTTGTTTTAAGAAAGTAGTAAACACTTTTTTTTTTAATATTTGATGCTATTTATACGTATATACACAGTCTAGTCACATTAATGTGACCACCTGTCAAAAGCCAGAATAACCAACTTTGGCAGAGCGGACCGCCACGAGACGTGCAGGAAGAAAGTCAATTAGGTTTCTGAAAGTGTTCACTGGGATGTTGAGCCATGCCGACTCCAGTGCCGTGGCCAGCTGCGCTAGATTACGCGGTTGAGGATCCATGGCACGAACAACCCGATCGAGGTGGTCCCACAGATTCTCGATTGGGTTCAAATCCGGTGAGTTTGCCGGCCAGGGGAGTACGGTAAATTCATCCTGATGCTCTTCGAACCACTCACAAGCACTGCGAGCTGTATGACACCTCGCATTATCCTGGTGGTAGATGCCATCATTCTGAGGAAAAATCATTTGCAAGTAGGGGTGGACATGGTCTGCATGGACAGATACGTACTTGTACTGATCCATTGTGCCTTCCACAATGATGAATGCACCCAGTGAATGCCAGGAAAACATTCCCCAAACCATAACGCTCCCTCTTCCAGCCTGCAGCTTTCCGGCAATTGTTGCAGGGTGTTGCTTTCAGACGTTTCACGCCGTATATGCCAACGTCCATCTGTCCCATGGAGCATAAAATGTGATTCATAGGAAAAAGCCACCTGTTACCACTCTGTGGACGTCTAGTTGTGGTACTGGCGTGCAAATTCCTGCCTTCGTCACCGATGAACAGCAGTCAGCATAGGTGCATTAACCAGGCGTCTGCTGCGGAGGCCCATGCGCAGCAACGTTCGCTGAACAGTTGTTGAGGATACACTCTTGGTAGCCCCTTGGTTCATCTGGACGGTCAGTTGCTCAACAGTTGCACGTCTATTCGTCTGAACGCATCTCCGTAGCCTTCATTCGTCTCTGCCATCTTTGGCCCGTGGTGCACCACATGTGCCACGCCGCTTGTTTTGTATAGTGCCATTTTGCCATGCACGGTATACTTTTACCACGGCGGTACGCAAACAGTTCACAAAATCAGTCGTTTCCGAAATGCTTCCACCCTTGGCCCGAAAGCCAATGATCATGCCCTTTTGGGCGTCGGATAAATCGCTACATTTCTGCATTGCGCTAACGACTGAAATGCTTTTCGATGCCCTAGGACATCCAATATATACACTACACTGTAATGTGCTGCCACTTACACTCTGCGATTGGTTATTTCACTTTGACGTCGAAAGTAGGTGGTGGTCACATTAATGTGACTAGACTGTGTATTATGTGGGCGTTAGCTATGCATGCACAATATACTAAGTGTACCATATCTAAAAAAAAGAGAGATGAAATTGAAAAATATAAACTATTAATTTAAATGCATTTTTTGTTTAACAGTATTCAAAGTAATTCATTTCACTCGAAATTTTTAAAAATAATTTTGAATTTTAAAAATTTGGTCTCAAATAAGGTATGAAATTTTTTTTTACATGAATAAAATAAATTATGGTTTTTATAAAATTTTATTAATAGTGCTAGCATTTCTATAAGTTAGCATTTTAAAATGCTATAAATGTTGAAATTCACTTCATGTAACATTTGTTCTAGATTTTATTTTCGGCTAATTGAATTGCTGTATCATTTAATATCTCACTAAATTTTTAATATTTTTACTGTACTTTGCGTGTAAAGTATCTTAATGTACAGTTCTATGTACTATTAACATGAGAATACACTGTTGTCCAATAAAACTGCTATACCATGAAGAAATGCAAATAAAAGAATTATGTTTATCGGACCCATGCCTTATGTTGGAAAGAACAAGTGATTGAATTTACATGAAATTAAAACATATATCCTGAGAAATCAGTTCTTAAATTTACTATTTTTGGCAGAATTAATGACAGTATTTATCCGGTAGCGCAGGGAGAGTCAAACAGAAATTATATGACATTTTTAAGGACTTGAATGATACATCTTCAAAACTATGCCGCAGTTCATTTACTGTAGTAATTGGTGAGGACGTGCTAATAACTTGGCAACCATGAACCACAAGTTTTTAATTATTAAGAGGGCATACTGTCCACTATGTTAGTCGAATATATTTTGTGTCAATGACAGTACAATCAATTTAAAATCCATGCTGAAAAAAGTGTTATCAAAGATAGGGCGAAGCCTTAACACGTTTGAAATGGTATACTAAGTGCATGGAATGCAAATAGGTAACACGGTTGAGACCATCAAGAACCGGGATTCAACCATAATACCTTTCTTGTGCACAAGCTCCTGTCTGTGATGCCACACTGGCAGTCCATAAAACTCTTGGAGCTTGTTGTTTTGCCAACATTTATTAACTCATGGTTTGCGATTATCTTTTTGACTATGTCCTTTTCTTATTACAGTCAAGAGATCCTGGTCAACACCGGTAATTTTTCTTATTCAAAGCCAGATTCGTATTAGTAGGCATTTCTCCTTTTTACACGAGACAATATCTTTTTTAGACCTCTCATACTCAATTTCTAGGAAGGCATTTCTCCTTCTAGGTAGCCATTTCTCCTTCTTACACGAGACAATATCTTTTTTAGACATCTCATACTCAATTTCCAGGAAGGCATTTCTCCTTCTAGGTAGCCATTTCTCCTTCTTACGCGAGACAATATCTTTTTTAGACATCTCATACTCAATTTCTAGGAAGGCATTTCTCCTTCTAGGTAGACATTTCTTCTTCTTACACGAGACAATATGTTTTTTGGACATCCCATACTCAATTTCTAATGCAAATTGAATATGAGAAAATCGCTGCATTTACATGTGTCACTACTGCTGTGACTGTGCTGAAAATCTAATCATGTCAAGAGTTCAGGGTGCCATCTTCTTGGCGCATCAATTTTAATGGTGTAATAAGTGCATATATTAAAATGTTAAAAATAAAAAAGCTCATTTTTTATGTTTCATAGGTCCCTATAAAAATATAATATTACGTATATTAGTTTGGAGGAAAAGGTTTCCAGTAATTTGAGACTAGGTTTTTCGGGAAAATTTTCTAAACTATGCAGACCCTTACCCAGAGCATGAATAAGCTCAAAGCATATTTTAATTTTATTCATCTTTGTAAGAAAAGTTAAAAAAAGTCATAGGATTTAAATTTTTTAAAAATTATTTTTACTTTTTATAATGCGTGTTGAATAAAAAAAAATTTTTTTTTTCATAAAAACATTAACCAAATAATTTTTTTATATACTCAGTTGAAGGAAAAAGGATATTCAAATTTATGTAAATCTTAACAAAGTTATATTTTAACATGACCATTAGAAGGGTCCTTATCAAATAATGGTAAATAGTTTTTGTTTTATATTCTTTTATTTAATATGATAAAAATATGAGTAGACATAATTTGCATTTTAAGTACATTTAATTGCCTAAGAGTCAATTACATTTGTCATCCAGCTCTAACTTCTAATCGAAATCAGTTTACTTTTTTGTGAGAGGTCAGAGAAAATATGCTCAGTCAGATGAGTGTTCTCTGCATTAAAAGAAACGAAAATAATTTTAAAACTTGTTTATTTCAATGAAAAAATATTTTTAATTACCATAAATTTTAAATAACAAAATCGGTTCTTGAAAAACAATAATTTAAAAACACGATTTTTTTCTTTAAAACTATTTGAGACTTAATTTCGTTCAAAATTTGTGTTTTGGCATTTAAAATAACATAGTTTGTCTAAAATTTGTAAAAATTTACATATCGTACGATTCATAATTTTTTGATCATCATTAAATAAAATAATTTATTGTTATTATTATAATCTATTTTTGCATGAAATTATCTCTAAATAAACGATTTTTATGACTGTGTTCCAAAAGTTTCAAAATCGCTTACAAAATTTACGAAACATGTCGAAATAAGCATAAACTTGCCGGATAAAAATACAGGACGAAACTTTTAAACCTTTTTTCTGACTTGACCCCAATTTTCTCATTGGGTCATCCCCTATATTTTGATGGTCAAAAAACGGTAATGCTGAATTTTTTATAAAGGGAATTGAAAATTTCACTAGAATTGAACATTTGAAACCCGTTGATTTCTTGAAGTCTTGATACCTCTTTCTTTAAGATTTCAATTATTGTAACGCCAACAGGTCTCTTATTAAAAAAAAAATAAATAAACATTTAATTTCTTCTTTAGTTCGTAACATTCGTAGTATTCAATAAATATTAATAATATGAAAACCTATATGCCAAGTATAGGTTTTCATAATCATGTAATTGTTATGTTCTTCTTAATCATGTAATTGTTATGTTCTTCCTAATCCTGTAATTGTTATGTTCATAAATTGAATTGGTAAAAACAAAAGAAAAATTCCGATTACTTGAAAATCAAATCTGTTTACAATTTTTTCCACTAAGGCACTTTTCCTACTACTGAAAAATATGAGCCCAGCTGGTAAAGGCTAAAAACTTTGTTAACACTTTAAAAGGCTTAACACTTAACTTTGTTAAAATTCATTTCGCTGCCGTATTATGAGCAGTGTATTTGTAGAAAAGTGATAGTACATTGTAAATTCCGTGGTGGCTCTGTGATTAAGGAACTGAACTGTCATTTTGAAGCACTGGGGTTCGATCCCCGTTGGCAAATTGAAGCCCAACCAGCTTTAGATCTACAGGTACCAGTTTGTCTCGGAAGTACTGGCGACCGGGTGCAATGTTGATCACGCTGCTATCACAATGCGGTTGATCGAACACCTGCTAGAAGAAAGAAGGCCTCCCAACTGTTCCATTTAATAGTTCAACTTAACGTACATAAACTGCGGACTGGGGGTAATAAGTAAGATTTTGTGTTCGGGCTACTAGACTGAGTAGTGGAGGGAATATACGAGGGCATTACGTTCGAACTACTAAATGATCGAATTTCTCGCTTACGGTAACCCGTGTGGAGGCCTTCTCTTTTCTAGGAGGTGCTGGTTGGTCGCGCAATTTTGGAGTCCCATCTGACAGCGGGTCAGAAGCTTGAAGTAACGTTAGTTTCTCTGGTCAACTAGTTAGTAGCTAGTTTCTGCTTGATTAGTTCAACTAGTTATAAAAGATCTTCTGTTTACTGCCACTTTAATTTTAGAACTCAGCGTTAACCTGATTTCAGTTTGAATAATATATTTTTAAATTGTTAATGATAGTTATGTATTAGGATTCTTATATATAGATAAATCATAATGATGACATCCTGCAACCATTTTTTATATTTTGGAATTTTCTATGTGGTCCATGCACATTTTATTTATATTTCAATGCGCGAATCGGCATTTGTTGCTTTGATTTTCTATAAAATCGTCTAAAATTTATGAAGCGTAAAAAAAAATGATCGAAAGAAGGGAGCTTAAAATTTTTTTTGAGGCTCTCAAATTAAATATTTGGAACTCGAAATTTCTGAACATCATATATTTAATTTTCGCAGTTTTGCTACTATTCTCTTTAGATTTTTAATAACTATACGAACCTTCTATTTTTTACCAAATTTCAACTGCCAAAATTACATTTGGTAGGGGATAATGGGGTCAATTGTAACATTTTTTACTTAACTATTTTTAACTAACAAAAAATCCAATATATTATTAGTATTAATTGACAGACGAGTAAAGTAGACTATCCTCTACTAGAAAAAAAATAAATACTTTATTTTAAATGTTATTATATTAGCTATTAAAAATTTTTGACAGTCGTGCACTTGTTACAATTGTCCCCACTTACGGGGTCAATTGTAACAGTTCATAAATTCAACAAAAACATAGTTAATTATACATATTATCATAGATTGTGATATATTTTTTTATTGATCGAAATAGTAGTGATATTTTAGGAGTAAAAATAATAATGAGCAGAGACCTAAAGGGTTAAACTTTTAACTTTAAGGGGTTAAAAATTTTAATTTATGCTGTGAAAGGTGACAAGTAAAATAATGCACATGCAACATAATATAAATGATATAGGAAACTATTAGTGGTTCTTAAAGAGTTAAGTTATGGTTAGATTATTTATTTTCAGATAAGATTATTAGATAAGATTATTTATTTTCAGCTGTTACAATCGTCTCTTTACTTATTGTTACAATCGTCCCCAAGACGCCATTTCAGCTTCATTTGTTAAAAACTATGCTAGTTAATTAACAAAACTAATCTTCTTTTTTTTAAATGTTAATTAAGGTGTCCACTTACATATTCGGTTAATAATTTTTATTTGTTTAAACAAAATTACTTTGTTACAATATAATATTCTAATACCAAAAAAAGTACTTACGTAGCGTGAAATTATCTTTTGTGATGCAACTCTTTCAAAAGTATTTAAAAATGGTTGCTAGCAGGGGTGTAGATTTATTAAATACACCTTGTGCGCCACCTAGGAACCGAATCTAGAACCCGACACTCGAAATTTTTGCTCTGTTACAATCGTACCCTGTTACAATTGACCCCACACTCCCCTAATAATGAGAAAGGCATCCCTGAAAAAAGTGGCAGCACATTTGTAATAACATTAAGTGGATTTTTAATCATTTAGCTAATAATTTGGTTCAAAAATATAACAATTTTGTGATTTAAGGACCAAATATGATTTTAATATTATCCAAATATACTGGTGAGTAGGTACGTATTTCTGAAAATGAAATAATTGATTTATTAGTTTTTAGCTTTTTTGCAAATTGTGCAAAAAGCGAATAAGAATTTACTTTTAGAATGTTTCTATGCAAAAAAATAATTTTCAATTTATATAATAACTTGGTATGATTTCAGACGCTCAGTGTGACAAGTCTCATAAATTTCAGTGTCATAATGGATATTGTATAAGCAATCGTTTTGTTTGTGACGGAAATAATCATTGTGGGGATTTCAGTGACGAGCAAAGTTGCAGTAGAAGTGGTAAGTGCATTTATTTAATTAAAATCATCATTACAGGGTGTTCCGTAATGACCACCATTATTGTATAGACTTAGAATCTCCACAATAAGAAAGTTAAAATATAATAAACATGAGGGACATGAAACAAGGAAAGCACGCTGTTGAAACCTAACGAATCATCATCAGAGACAGATTATAAAAAATGAAACTTTGTTATAAACATTTTATGAAACTAACTTCATTAATTCAAATTTTTAAATTTGTGAGAAAGTAAGAGCATCTCAAATAAGACTATTGAAAATAATGGATAGATAACCAAGTTAAAAATAAGAATGTATGAATAAAATATTAATTACAGATTAGTAACGATATTTAATTTAATAATTTTTCTTACAATTGAAATTATGTCCCGAAGTGGACTGATTGTTAAGACACAGTTCCCAGCAGATCACCGAAGTCAAGCATCACTGGCTGTGGTCAATGTGCGGGTTGGTAACCACTTGGATCATTCTGCGTAGGGACCGAGGGTGTAGGGTATTGGTACTCGTAAAACTGTTCTACCGTAAAGTGCTCGACTTCGCGTACAGGGAGTTGGGATACCGATGCGGGGGTGCCATCCCCTTTGCAGAGGATCAAAATTATGATGGCATGTCTTCGGATCATCCTCAGGGATGTTTCCCAGACCATCGCCAATAGCCCATAGTGTATCTCTAGTACGACATAAATTAACTACAACTACAATTAAAATTATTTATTTTTATAAAAACAGATATTTAGCATGCTTATTTTTTTACTGGATATAAATCAGCAAAAGAATTAATAAATAAATAAAATTAAATAAATAAAATTAAATAAAAAACGATTCCCCTTTAAAACTTTTTAACTGATAGTCGGATTTTTATTCTGTAAAGTGTTATGGCTACATCTGAAAGAAATCTGTTAAGTTACACTTGACAGTTAACTGTAACCATGGCGTAATATGCTCATTTTGACGAAAAAGCGAGCACTTTTTCTTAAGAAACAAATTTTTTACTGCATTCGATTTAGCGTGCAAAAATAACGTCTGAAACAAAATTCCATAAAATTCTGATTATTAAGGGGACTTACAAAGACAATACTTGGTATTGGTAGAAACAGATTTTACTTAAAGCATTCTAGAACAGCTCGTCGTAATTTTTTTCTGCTACCAAACGCTAAATAATCAATCTTCTTTCGGCGGAACTCCATCTTTATTAATAAAGTTTAAGGTAAGTGTGAATGTTATAGCCAATTAAAGACTATATTTAAAATATTTACTTAGAAGAATGAATAATTTTCATTCCATTATCATTTATTCGCTTTAGAAGCAGATTTTACGTAAGGCATCACCAGAGCAGCGCGTCGCAATTTTTTTCGGCAATAGAACACTATATAATCAATCTTTCTTCCGCGGTACCCCATATTTACACCTTAAATTCTTACAATTCATTCAGTCTGAATAAGGTGTTCTCGTATGACCACTCTTAATTTCAATTATTAATTTTTTGTCTCTCAAAAACGGTGTCAAATGTGTTTTAAACTAACAATAAGTGTCGGAAATTTATGTTTAAGAAAGGAAGAACAAAAAACGTTGTCGAAATCCATGGAAGCACTACTGAGGAAGGCAATACTCAGAACATCAAAAACCCGTTTAATTATCAGCGGAATAGTTGAAAGACAGTTATTAGAAACGGCTTCAATTTCACCAGACTATCAAGCTGGTTTTTGATATTTGCCATTCCGTCTTCCTCATTAGTGCTTTAACAGATTTCAATAGCAATTATGTCTCTTCGCTTGAACTCTAATTTGTAATCCATATTGTGCTTACTTTTTTTTATTAATTCTAGAAATATACATTAGGGATAATTCATATGAACACCATGATACTATTTTTTTATAGAAGCGAAACATAATAATCCTTGTTTTCTTTTCAGGATTTGTTGTATTTATCGCTTTATTTCTTGTTGTTGTCATGGGTCTAGTGGCTGGATTTTGTATATCGATGGCTTTAACAGCCATTTTAACTAGTGGGTTAATAAAACTGCAGTGGAATGGAAATCCAATTAGTTGTAAGTAATTATAGTTCATTAAATAACGAAGCTCAGAATATATGTATAAAATTAAGAGAAATGTTTGATTTTATTTATTTTGCAGTTAAATTTTTTTAATTAATAAATTTTTTGTATAATTAATTTATAATTTATTATCTAATTTTTAATTTATTATCTTCCTTTAAATTA